ACTTCTTCTCCCTCCGAACCAACTCCCCGGCCGCCCACCTCAGGGTGACGTTCGACGTGACTTGCTCCTGGCTGTTTCAGTGGTTGTCCGGGGGACACGGCCCCCTCTCTTCCTGGCCATGCTGCTCAGCAGAGGACTTTTCTGTTTCCGTTCATCGTTTCAGTCCAGCTCGACAACGGCTTTGGAGCCCTTCTTGTGGGACCCCCACCGCCTGGGAGGAGCCCACGGCTACAAGGAGCCATCTCCGGCCCCAGGGAGCACACGTCTCGTAGGGGAGTCTCAGGGAAGCTCCAAACCTTAATACGAGGCAGCACGACAACGTGGCTCGGCAGCTCCGAGAGCAGCGACACCTCAGTGTGTGAGCGGGAGAAGTGTGGGAGGGGAGGGTGCACACGAGCTGAGCTCTCCCCAGGCCTGACGTCGCGAACAGGGGCCCCTTCCCGGGTGCTCATGAGCAAGCTTCGTGCGCTTTCTCATTTCACAGTCACAATCCTAGGAGCCGACACACTTATGATCCCTACTTTACACGCAGGCGGACGCTGGCTCAGAGGTGAAACCACCCCGACGGCCAAAGGCAGCTCCTGCTGACCCCAGGACCCCGGGCTCGCCCCTGCCCTGGGAGCCTGCTGATTCCGGGAGGATTTTTAGCCAGCAGAAGGAGGAGGGCACCCGGGCCGCACTCGGCATGTGCCGGGCAAGCAGCCTCAGAGGGCAGGGCCCGTGCAGAAGGGGCGGCCCCAGCTCCCCAGAGGTTGCTCTGGGCCAGGTGCTGCCTAGTCACCTCACAGACACTGTGCTGACGTCCAGGAAGTGGTTTAATAGAGGCACTTGAAACAGGGAGGGGTCGGCGAGGCCCCATCCAGGTGGGAGGGGCAGGGAAGGCTCCCTGGGGGAGGTGCCCTCTGAGCCACGGTCTGCAGGGTGGATGGGGTGAGCCAGCTGACTGGGGAAGAGGACACGGGAGTGTCCTGTGCTGCCGGAAGATCATGCAAAGGCCAGGAAGTAAGTCCGCGGTATTTCAGGTGCCTACGAGTCATGCACGGGGCTGAAACACAGCTCGTAGCTCTGGGGAAGCGGCGGAGGGCAGACCGCCAGAGCAGGCTCCCAGTCTTTCTCCGTAACTGAGTCCTCTCCATGAGCAATGACCTCCTGGTGACTCTGCGGTGTCAGAGACAGCAGCTCTGTCAACACTGAACATGTATTTATTTTTTCAAGAATGTATTTTAAATAAAGAATTACTCGATGTTGGGGGTGGAAAGGGGCTTCTCTCGAATGCAATTGCTTTGTTTAAGAAATGAGGACGCTGAGGCTGCCAGAGGCTTGTTGACCTGCCTGAGGCCCCCCGCGAGCTCAAATAAAAGCTTTTGCTTTCGTCAGCCCACACGCTATCACATTCCTGGATGGGAGGGACACAGACTGTGAAGCGAATGCTTTTTCCAAGTCCAGGTATGGCATTCGCACAGCTCCAGTTAAAGCGGCGAAAGCCCACTTTATCTGTAAACGAATCAGCAAAGTCGTTCTGGAAATCGGCGACACAGAGGCCTTGAATCATTCAGCGTAGCTGTCCGTTCCACGCCACCCTGGACAGAGCGGCAGATGGGAAGAGAGACGAACCCTCCCCGCCTATAGCTCACGGGCGTTTTCAGACGTCGTAGCCCCTTCTAACGGATACGGGTTCATCTTAGGAACAGAACTGCCAGGGGCAAAGCTCTTGTCACGAGCGCTGCCCGTCGGTCTGGCTGCGAGCCGCTCTGAAGGTAGCCTTGCGACCCCGCTGTCACAGAAGGGAGAGGAGGAGAAGCACTGGAGGCTGTCCCGGCCCAGCCTTCTGTGCCGGCCCTCTCTGTACCCACTCCCCTCCCCGCTGCCACAGAATTATCGCTTACACAGCGTCTTTTGTGCCAGGGGCCCTGAGGGACTTCCTAAGAGCACAGGCTTAGACCCAGGCTGATTAGCCGTGCGAAAGTGTCAGCTCTTGCTGCTCAGAAAACGTGCTGTCCTACGTTCCCCATGCAGCCTACTTCATCATTCTCAGGCCAGGAGAGGGGGTGCCCGCACCGGAAAGGCAAACTGGGCCGAGGTGGCCGAGTGCACGGAGGGCTCCGCCCCCGCCCCCGCCTCCACCCCAGGGCTCCCAGCTGTGGGAGCCCTGCTGTTGAAAGGG